CAAATTGAAGATAATGTTGGGATACAGGGGAGATGAAAATGTGTAGGAACACATCTGTCATCCACAAACCAGGAGTGAAAACCCAACAAAGGGCAAAGTAGGACTCCATGGTGAAACTTATGAGGACCAAGAAGCAGTTCAGAGCTAACAGATCAATGACAGGGCAGCAGTCCCCTGTCTTTTTTGGGGACAACAGACAGATGGGAATTAAAAACAGTACAAGAGTGATCTCCTCATTTGATGGCAGCCTTGCAAAGCAAGTCCCAAACCTCCACTGAAAGATGCTGGCTGGCAATGGGACCCAAAGAAGAAAGGAGGGAAAGAAACAACATGAAGAGACATGAAGTCCCTCCAAATGTGGGAAAAGCTGAGGAGCCTGGCCCCCACAAGTCTCGAACCCACAACTTAGTCACCGAGACTGCTGGTAGTGCCAAAGATATTTGCTCAAGAACCAATGGCAAGCCTCAGGAATACGAGAAGCCAAAACTGGCAAGGAAGAGGAAGGAGGAGAGCGAGACACAGAAAAAGGTACAGGAGGGGTTTGGGATAAATGGGAGGCCAAGGACAAAAGGGAGATATGAAATCTGGCTGACTTAGCCCTGGACTCCAAAGAGTTCAGAATGCTCCCCAAAACATCTTAGAAAAGAAAAGGTGCCATGTAAAAATCATGCAATGAGGAGGAAGGCAAGCAAACCCAAGACAAAAGGGCATCCCAACCCCAAAGATCCCAAAAACAGATTAACCATGTTTGCAAAACCAGGGCAGAAGAAGAGAGGTGTGCAAATGTGGAAAACAGGAGATTCCTAATCTCTGCCAAAATCTAACAGGGAGTGATGAATAGCCACAGACAACAGGTGTAGGGAGGCCAAGGAACAGAGAAGGGCTGGGGTCAGAAGTATTAGGGTCAGATCCCCACAAAGGGACAAGAGACTCCAAATACTGTGAATCTAAAAAGGAAATATCCGAATAATGACACGACAGAGCATGGTCGTCTAGAGTACGTGAGGGTCGAGGCATACTGTATGCAACTAGTCACCAAAACAACTCTCACGAACCCCAATATCCGGAGAGGGAGGAAACACTAAGTACTGACCTAAGGGCTCGTCACTGAGAAGGGCGGGAGCAGAAATTAGACAAACCCTTGTCTGGTATATGAGTACAATCATCAGGTGATGCAGAAGACAGCATAAAAGTAGCTAACTCCCTATGAACCAGAGCCATTACTTCCTGAGCAGATAAAGCTTGCCCAGATACCTTTGAAATGACCGGCAAATCAACTGTACTAGTGGCAGTAGCTGTGGTAGAAGCCATGTGGGATTGGAAGTGCCTGATCAGTGGAGTTAACCAGGAAAAAAATTTGTTCTCCAACTCTGTTCTCAAACTATTAAAAGTAAAAAAAATACAGTGAAAGAAAAAACATTATGCACAGCCTAATAATCAACAGAAAACTTGATCAATTAAGAAAAATATCAATCAGAATACACAAACAAAAATACATCTTAACAGTTACACTGCCAATCAAGAAGTGATTTTGGCTTGCATGGAAGAGAGGGCGCTATTGATGGTAGGAGTTGTGTCTCACTCCTTTTGGTAGATGGTTGCTGCCATCAAAGTTAGTATTTTTTTAAATCACCTGCAGCTCATATAGAAAATTTGTTACAGAATCAATTTTTCATTGTTTGGAAGTTAAAATTCTTGTGAAAAAGATGTTTTTCCTATTGTTGACATCTAAAAATAAATGAAAATGTAAATGGTATGAATAACTTTTTAAAAACTTTTGAAACCCTGTTTACCACAGCTATAATTTTTTTTCTAGATATGATTTTAAATAATTATAACTATTTGATTTTAATTTTAGAAAATTATAATGTTTGTTTTTTACTGTTCTTATTTTAATGTAAATCACATTACTAGAAATAAAGACACAAGCTTTAAAATTGTTGGACAACAGACTGACTGAGTTAATCATTAACTGAATATATTAACATTATTTCAATTTCGTTTGACTTTTTGGTTACTTTTAGTATTATATGGTCAACACTGATTAATCCAAAAAACTACACTATTATAATGGAAGTCTTCTTTCATTTAAAGGTACTGAAAACTAGGTTACAGAGTTACACAGCTAACTTTTAAAAAATTAACTGGTATCATACTATCACAGTAAAAATTAAACATTACTATAGGTAGTGTGTAGAAGCTAAACATTCTTACTTTTTAACACAATAATACGATATTACCTGAATAGCCTTTCTAATTTTCTTCTTATTCATTACCTAATGGTTTTCAAACTTTGTAAAATAAAGTTATAATTATCAAAACTTTTATTTTACCAAATAAATTGATGTTATTTTAATTTTCATGTAACTTATCTTTAAATATAGGCTACTTGAAGAATATTGTTGCGTCATCGAGATCACGTGACTATTCTCACGCCCTCTAGTTTCTAGAACTATCTTGTTCCTTCATGAATGCCTTAGCATTTACTAGATAGGGTAGTCTGATATATAAAAGAGGGTGACAACGTGACGAGATAATGTAATGTGTGTGAGTAGATAGTGAGTAATTGAACTGCAGTCACAGGGTATTGTTGAAGTTAACGTTTGTTCGTT